TATCTCTATATACCCAGCAACGCATGCAATGTCTCACCACCTGCTGACAAATAGCCAGCAATCCCTAAGCAATGGCTGGCCCCCAGCCAGTTCTCCTCAGCTGTGTGGCCTTCTGCACGAGGTGAGGAAAACAACATGCTGATAAATAGATCAGCATTATGTGTATTTCACTAATACAGCCGTTCAGAAACTCGGTCTGGTCGCATTCAGTTACTAAGTGTCTTAAAATGTATCTGCTTCACTTAAAATATGTACATGTAGCATTTGAAGAGTTACTTGGGCAATAAAGCACTCAAACGTTAAAGTAGTGTGAGTTGTTACACTGGTTTCCTGTGGACCACCACTGAGAATTGATGCTGATTTTGATTCTTTGTTTCAGGCCAACCTGAGGTTAAGAGACTGAAGTGATCACACCCAAAAAGGAGCTATGGTTTGTTGGGTTGTTTGTTTGTTTGTTTGTTTGCTTGCTTTTTTGTATTCTTTGAAATATTTTTTTTTTCTTGGCCAGTTGTATTTTTCTGATTGCATGCAATACCATTTTTAATACTTCGGTAGAGCAAATAATCTGGGTACACTGAAGGTCGTGTGTAAATTTTCCTGAAGTTAGTACTTCTTTTCCTAGACTGTTTTTTTTTTTTTTTTCTGGGTAGAACTTGACTGCAAACTTGAAGCACTTTTAAATATTCAAAATTTAAATAAGCATGTGACTTGTAGAAATGTTCTGTATTTTTTGCTCCAACTTGTGTATATTCGTCATTTCTTTGGTGATGGTAGAATTAATTTAGTAATTACTTCCCTCTAGATTGACTACTTGAGTAATTACTGGAACAATCTTTAAAGTAATTACTTCTTTGTTGACTAAGAGCAGTCTTGATAGTGAAAAATCAATACATGTTAGCAAATCAAAATTTGAAGGCTTTTCTGGTACAAAGCTGGTTCACTAGGCAAGATTAAAAGGGTTGTATATGAGACATATCTGTGTGGTGAATGCAACTTCCCTAGTTCCCTGCAACAGGCACTGTGCCACTGCTTCATTTTCTTTTCAGAATATTGCTTGACTCAGGTCAGCTGTAAAGAACAAGCAAACTCCTCTTGCTGGGCCACATAGTAATTTACCATATTTAAAAATTTACACTATAAGTAGTGGACTATTCTTTAGAATAACAACAGCCAGAGTGCTAAAAATATTGAGTCTGTGAGGACTGTCACATGCAGATTTAGCCCAGTGTACTTCTTTGAGAAAATCATTAATTAGTAAATAAAAAAATATATATACTTAATACACTGGAGTTCTTCAGAACGAACTGTAGTGACAGAGTGAATTGAGAGTTTGGTTCTGAAAGGCACGCTGTCAGTAGAACGTCAGTAGAACAGGGCTTTTGTAACAACGTGGTGGTACCTTTTTGACCAAACGTTTGAATAGTGACTATAGAAAAATCAAAGCTCTACTTCTGCCTCTGTGTACTTGCAAAGCAACAGAATTTAGTTGCTGATTTTTTTTTTTTTTTTTCCTAAAGCTTAATTTTCTAATTTAAATAAAGCTGCCTTTAGTTGTGCATGATGTGAACGAGTGCGTGGTTCACACCGTGATGCAAAAGACTACCTTTGCTTGGCATGTTATTATTTCTGCTGTGACTGAAATTCCCTACAATTTTGATTCCCTAAAATCAAGGAATGCCTGAAATTCCCTTTCTTTTCTAGAAAACTTGAATTTATTCCACTAAATATTTGTTTCACCCAACATGCCAGCTTAGGCATCATGCATTTGGAAGTGTTCTCATGGGTGATCATTAGAAATGCTGTATCTGACGTATATGGTCATGGTAGTACAAGGATAATTTCCCAGCATTTGGAAGAGTCCTTTTGGGTAAGGGGTAGGAAAGAGATCTAAACTTGTAAATGTTTCTTTGTTACTCATAATCTGACTCTTGACAATCTTTCTGTTTACTTTTTTCCCTTAGCATATTATCAGCTTTAGCGTCTTTAGTTTGCATTTTATTTATAGAACTGTAGTGTATTTAAAATCCCAAAGAAAGCATAATTCAGAAGCATATAAGTTTTGAGATTGCCACTTGTGATGTGGAGGAATAGAACCTCTCTGATAATTATTCACATGCAAAATGTAAGCATATTTTTAGTTACTGACACAGTCTACTGCAAAAGACACAAATTCTCCATGATAAAGGCTGGAGTTCTTTTTAGCCATCAACAGATTGTTAAGTGTTTGCACTTAGAGGAGGTTGGTAAGTAAGATACTGTATCGGAGTTATCTCTGAGTTGCTAGTTAGTGTAGTGTTTATATAAAAACATTTGAAAAACATCTTAGTGCTATAGAGGGTATCTAATAAACAAATTTTGAAGAAATCAAGGTCAATGCAATGTTGGCTTTTCACTGCTGTAAGCGATATTGTGCCTTTTGCAATTCTTTGGGGTTTCTGAACAAAATGATGACTCCTTGGCTCCATTTCCTTTCAGTGTCTTCCCTGAGTACAACATTACTCTTCTTTCAGTTTTACAGTTAATTGAAGTGGTTGGAGTTGAGCCAGTTTGACCAGAGGGCTACAGCGAGGCCATTTTATAATCTTGAGATACTTAGCACTGAAGATTCTCTGCAAAGATTGCAGTATTGCATTGGAATTATTCTCTATACGTTGAAAGTATGTTAAATGCTTGTGCTTGAAAGGGGCAACCAGTAGGGCAGAAAGTATTTTATTTACATTGGATTAAGAATGGTGTAACTGACCATGAGCAATCAGGGAAGGGATCATGCAATATAGAGGAATTCAGAGTTGGGGAAGCAGAAGTAAAAATCCTGCAGGAGTGTTGTTTTCAAGAATCCTAGCCACACAGCTTGCCTTGTCTTTGAACTGAGCAAGGGGAGTGTTCTAGGATGGAAAGACAAAAGGACCCTGGATACCAAAATATTATAGCAGTGGTTGGCTGTGTAATTTCACCAGAGTATCATAGAATATTTGAATAAAAGGCTCACAAATACTTTAGCATAAAATCTATAATGAAGTGTAGTCTTTAATTGTAGTACTTTCAAAAAATGGACGTAGTAAATAACACTGTTACCATTGACTTGATTTTCATTTTTAGAGAATACTGTAGCAATGAAAGCTTGCCATCGTTTTCTTTCTTTTTAATAAAGCTTTTATAGGAACAGTACGTTTTAAATCTGGCAAATAAGACTGTATAATTCTTATGAGTTTCAAGATGCTCTAAATGTTGGTTTCGTGGTTGTTCCATCACTTATTTTCCCTAGTTGGTTTATAGTATTACCATAACTTTTACTGTAACTTTTGTTAGATCAGTGTTTAAAAATAATAATGACTTTGAAATGGCTTTAAATAATAATGACTCTATTTGTGTGATGTACTGTGATTTACAGAAATAATACTATAATCAGAGTACTTATTGATTTTAGTGTTTGTGATGAACATTGATATACAATTACAATAACAAAAAAGACAAGCTGTTAGTCTAAAATAAAGTTTATATAGAAAACTTAATCTTCTAAGGCCTGGAGCTACTGTCACGATAAAAAGGGCCCCTACCCACAGTATCAGTTAGCTGCCAAAATAATTGTAGTAGTTTACTCTGAAACTCTGTGTTCTCCCAATAGGGAACTATAAAGTGGCACAGCAGTGTGAACTGGGTTACTTTCTTGCCAGTGGCGACAAGCTGTTGTCTAGAAAAACCTAATAAAGGTGGTGATAGTGGGTGTGTAGTTAGTAGAAGTCCTACTAAAATTTTCTTGTTTAAGGTGTGTCTTTCATGGAGCATGAAAGCTGGCTTAAAAATGTGAGTTTATGAACAGTCAGCAGGGTGTATTTCACAGACTGATGTTATCTGGGGAGAGAAGATAGAATTCAGTGTTTTCCAGGCCAGTTAGGCTGTTCTTGCTGACTTGAAAGATCATCTGCCTGTTTCATTGCAAATGTTTCTAGAATAGAGCCATACCAGCCATCTGGAAAAGAAAGGAAGCAATGAAATGATATTTCCACAGGTTGTTGCATTCTAGAATTAATTCTTATGCTCTCTGAGGGTCTCAAATCAGTGCTTTGATGGAGTTAGCTCCAATTCTCTTATTCAGGACATCCAAATTATTTTTTGTTTATCATAGAATCATATAATAGTTTAGATGGGAAAGGACCTTTAGGATCATCTAGTTCCAACCCCTCTGCCGTAGGCAGGGCCACCTCTCTCTAGACCAGATTGCTCAAAGCCCCATTCAGCCTGGCCTTGAATGCCTCCAGGGAGGGGGCATCCATAACCATTCTGGGCAACCTGTTCCAGTTTCTCACAAATTAGGAAGAAAAAATTTCTTCCTAATTTCTAGTCTAAATCTGCCCTCTTCCAGTTTAAAGCAATTTCCCCTCATCTTGTAGCTACATGCCCTTCTAAAATGTCCCTCCCCAGCTTTCCTCTAGGCCCCCCCTTCAGGTACTGAAAGGCCACTATCAAGCCTCCCCAGAGCCTTCTCTTCTCCAGGCTGAAGAGCCCTAGTTCTCTCAGCCTATCCTCCTAGGCGAGGTGCTCCAGCCCTCTGATCATCTTTGTGACCCTCATCTGGGCCTGTTCCAACAGCTCCATGTTCTGATTCACCTATGCTTCACTGGGTAGACAGAGTCCTTGCTAGAATTTTGTGCTGGAACAGTTTGCATGATCGGAAAGTGATAAGACATTCCTCCTTATGATACGGGGAATGACTTTAATCTAAAATAGGGGAGATTTAGATCAGATGTTAGGAAAAAATTTTTCTCTGAGAGAGTGATAAGATTGGGTGAGATCCTGGGCAGCCTGATCTAGTGGTTGGCAACTCTGCCCATTGCACAGGGCTGAAATGAGATGATCTTTAAGGTCCCGTCCAACCTAAGCCATTTTGTGATTATGTGGGAAAGGAGAACATACAAATCCTTTACAGGATGAGTGCATGTTTATAGATTCATTACAGTGACGTTTGTTCTAAATGTTTTGTTTCATTTTTCCTTTTCCAGGGAATAGAAAACTGATGTGTTGAAGTAGAAGAATTAATGCTTAGGGTCAGAGATGTGTCTGGAAAGATGTAGAGAAATGAAGCGTTGGGCAGAGAGTGAGCTGCAGTACTAGATAGGCCCTCCCTTGCACCTGTCATTGCTGCTGTCTGCTCCCAGCGTTCCAGAATTAACTGTCATAGGTAAGAAGTTATTTTCTGCTCTGTGTGATTTTCTGACCCTCAGTAGAATATTTTACTTTTTTTTTTAATTTGAGATTAAGTCCAGCTGTATTAGTCAGCTGAAATTCAGTCTTTTCCATAGTTCAAAGTAATAATTTTATACCATGCCTACATCTAGTTTAGCTGTTTTAAATTGCTTTCAGGTGGTGGAATATTTAAGAATATTTTTTTTATATAATTAGTTTTATGCATTTCTCTGGTTCTGTACCTGTGAGCAAAGTAAGCAAGATGATCTGTATATAAACACAAAATAATTTTGAAAACTACCGGTGGGATTTAGGACAATAAAGATGGTTGTGGAATGGTCCCAGTTTATGTGATTGATGTTTTAGAGAAATCTCCCAGAATAGTCATATTATGACATTTTACACATGTACTGATTTCTCCAAAAAGAGGTAGTTGCTTTCTCATTTTAACCCTGCTACTGCCATTAGGCAGACTTTTCCTGTTGGAAAATTCACTGTACTTACTAACATCTACAACTCTCTATATGTTTTTTGGTAAAATGTGCAAATACGAGTAAAAACCCTGAGATTTTGCTATTTTAATATAACATGGAAGAACATGCTAGTACTTGAAAACTTCTGAATTAAACAAAAATAAAAACAACCAATCCAACAAGCATAATAAATTGTAAATTTCATACAAATTTTAAGGAAAAAATCTTCAGACATTTCTGTGATTTATTTACTTTCTATGCTCCTTGGTTTACTCTTTCTGTCTCCTAATTCTTCTGGCAAGCTTCTAGCTGATCTACTAGATAATCTGAATCTGAAGGCATTTGGATTTTTCTTCTAAGCTGCCAAAATATTTTTAACCATTTATCTCTGTGAGATCATTTGAATATTTATGTTCAATATTACGTACTGTGATTGTACTTATAGTTTTTAAAAGTTTTAATATTTGATAGATTTTCAAATCTTATTTTAATTATTTCTCTGCCTGAAGCCCCCCTGTTAGGGCTGCAAGTTACCATCTTGTTAGTGCATTATGAGGTACCAGTTAATCTGCTTCTCTGGAGCTATCTTGTGGCAACACTATATGGAGGTGGGTGTATTAATTTTAAATAAGTGGGTGTTCAATGAATTAAGGAGAAGCTGAAGACAGCATGATCTGCTAAAAACAGATCTTACACTTTTTCTAGCTGTAAAAGTTGAAATGTAGTATTAGACTTTGAATACTTGTGACTTAAATATGAAGGCACGCTGGAACATTTTGTGCCAGAGGCTAGATTTCTACAGTTTAAGGTGCCTGAAGTACTCACAACAAAAATGCAATTGTTTTAAAATTTCCTGTTTGGAGATTTTACTGAAATGTAATGGAAACTTTTGATAAAGATAAAATACTGAATTGGCACCTCCTAGTCTTTACTGCCTTCCTTATTTGGAAGTGACAGTTTTCAGTTCGTTGATGTGTTTTGAGTGAGATGGAAACTTTTCTGCTTTTGTCAGAACAGCCAGAAGCAGAGGAAGATTTGTCTGGTACTTGTACTGTCAGACAGTGATGTAGCTATGCCAGACATGCTGTGTCAGCCAGAACAAATGTTGTTTTGTACATCACTCTGCTCTTGGTGCACTCAGGTCTAGTCATTTACTAGTCGTCCTCTGAGTGGACAAAGCTGAACAGACCACCTGTTGTGCTGTTTTTCACAGAATCATTGAGTTTGGAAAGCGACCTCTGGAGATCTAGTCCATCCACCCTGTTCAAATCGGTGTCAGCTGTACTCTGGGCTGTTTTTGTTTTATATGTATCTTAGAGACTCTACAGCTCTCTCTGGGCAACCTGTTCTAGTGTTCAATCAACCTGGTAATTAAACAGCTTTTTCCTATGCTTAGATGAAAATCTATGTGGAAAGTACTTCTTGATCTTTTGTTACATGCCTCTGAAGTGAATCCATTTTCCTTCTCTCTGCATCAGGTATTTATTTATATACATGTATAGCATCCCTCTGGAGCTTCTTCTCAAGACTGAAAAATACCATCTATCTTATTTCCTGCTTACATACAATCAGTGTTTCAAATCCTTAATCACCTGCACGGCCCTTTCCTGGACTCTTTCCAGCATGCCTATGTTTCTATGAAATTGCATTCTGGCATTTCAGACTCCCACATGTTCTGGTGTTTGGAGTTTCTGCTCCTCAAGTGCAGGGATTTTCAATTTTAACTTCATGACGTTTGTTGTCCTATTTTTCTATTTTCGTTAAGGTGTCTGTGTAGCCACACGACCAATTGGTGCATCAGCATTTCTGTGCAGTTCTTTAGCATGGCTTGCTGAGGTAGCATTCTGACCCCTCATCCAGGGCATTAGTGAAGATGTTGAACTGTATTGGTCCCAACAGCTCCCACTGCCATACTCCTCTTGTCATTTTGAGTGCCCACAGTTGCGTATTTGGTGCGGACAGAAACCCTGGAGAGCAGTGATAATTAAAGACCTTCTTAAAGAACATGCAGGTGAAGATTGGATCTGTATTTTTCATTCCTTTGAAAAACAATTTCAAATGGCACTGTTTGCATTTGTATGCTTGCCCTAACGTTTTTTTGTGCCTGTCTGTGCTCTCGTGGGGTAAAAAGAATGGAATATTTCAAATGAGTAGCAGATAATGACCAGTGTACTTTTAGTACTGATTTTCGATTTCTTTGAACTTGCAGAAAAATCAGTCAGTGTATTTCTATGAATTTGTAATTTAAATATTTGCAAACAATTAGGGTTATTATATATGACAGAGGACTAAACTTGGTGTTTTCGATGTGGGAATGTGACTGAGTTATGGATTGTTGTTTGTTTAACCAGTTCTTGCAGTGAAGCAAAATGATGAAAAAACACATGGTAGACTGGCAAAAGAGGGACCATTAGCAAATGAATGCTGAATTGAGCAATTAGGCAGGAAATTGAATGAGGATTCACATGAGGCAACACATGGCAGGACTAGAGACAGCTGTAGAAACTGGCAGAGCATTGTCAGCACCTGGTAGTGTGATCTATGGCCAGTACAGCCAGCTGCCCAGTAAGCTAGCAGCCTGGGTTTGGAGGACATTGGAATGGCATGAACATTTTTCTTGCTTCATTTGAAACATGTTGAGTGCAGCAGTCTGCTCAGAAATGAAAAAGATCCCTGCTTAGCAGAAGGAGAGGGGAGGATTCTTTAGAGTTCAGTGTATGAAAATGTGTTCACTTTTGTTTCAGTAAGTCTGCATTATGAGAAATAATTGCTGTATAGTAAACAAAATACCTGAAAATGAAATACTTTGATTTAAAGTACCTGTAATAAGTTATGGGTCATTTAAATAAAACTAATATGTGAAACTAGACTAATCAGTTTTCCAGTAAGATCTGAATGCCTGTCCCTGGTGAAACACAAGTTTGCTCTGCTGCAAGTTTGCTTTTGTTGCAGCTCTTCTTCAAACAGTTCCTAGGTAACAACTCAGAGGTGGGTGAGCATGGCATGCTTTATGCCTTAGAACAGTCTCGGACTTAGTTATGGTGTTCCTCACGATGTCTAGAACGATATGCACATCTTGAAAAAAGTTGTTAAGAGCTGTCATTTTAGTGAGAAATTTAACTTGTATATCATCAGTGTCACAGAAAAAAGGAAACTTGTGAAATCCGTAGGGTTCATTTATCCTTTCATATAATCTGATTTCACTTCTTTCTGGTACATCATTGCTGGAAAAAGCAAACTCCTTCCCTTAAGTAGAACCTCATCAAAGCCTCTTGAAAATCAACTTTAGTGTGTTCACAATGAGTCGTGAGAGTGGAGTGTTCTCTCACTTATGTTTGAGATTTAGCTTGCATAATCAAAATGAAAATTAAGAAGTATTTTTATAAAATAAGCTGGCAATGATTTACACTGCAGTACAACACTAAATATAGAATGCTGAACTGTGTCAGGCTGGGTCAAATTCTGACTTGATAACCAGGCTCGGCTGTGCTGGCTGATATGCCTAATAACTGTTCTGGTGTAGTTCAGCTGCAATAGGAAACTACTTAATTGTGTCACTGGAATGTGGTGGAGGTGTACATCTCTGTAAGCATTTGTGTGCAGAAGAAAGATTGACTTTTTTTTTTTCTACATGCATGTTAAAGTGCTAGAGAGGATTACAAACCACTGAGACTGTCTAACAGATAAGACTAAGCAATACAGTTCAGAACATCATAATTCAGTGATTACTCCCAGCTAATACTATCTGAGCATCCCCATTGTTGAACTTAGTCTATTCACAAAACGTAAGTCAATAAATGTGTGAAGGCAAAAACTGCATCTCAAAACGAATTAAAAGCATGTGCTTTGATAATAGAGTACTTCAAGGGTAGGTTAATTAGCATTGACATTCTTTGCTCATGTGTATTAATGAAATTTTCATTAAAAGAGTGAAGTTTGATTTTTTTTTTTTCAGATTGAGGGAAATATTAGGAAACATAACATCCATTTGCAGAACATGAGAAATAGGTTAACTGCTTTCCAGGTATAGGAAGAATTATCTATACATTTTTTCACATTGGCCAGAGAATGTAATTTCTAAAGGAAGTTCTCGGCAGCTCAAAATGTATTAAATCTCTAAAAATGTACTCTACATCTTAGGTTTCGGTATTGACCTCAGAAGGGAACAAACCCTTTACAAGAATACACTGGTAGGGTTACTTAATGCAACCTGTAGGAAAGTTTCTCTGTCTTGTTGCTTCCCAAACGTAAGACAATTCTTACAGTCCTCCCACCTCCCTAAGGATTTATTGCTTACTATTAAGAATACTTTACTTCTTTGTCACTGCTATTGCAAGAAAGTAAAGCTTATGTAATAGTCTGTGTCACCTACTCACATATGTGCTGTGGAGCTTGGTGTAATCTGGAAGATGTTCATGGTGCATGATGAGCTTTTTAAATAATATTTAAATATTTCGTATTGATGACAATCAAAATTAGGTTACAGTTTGTATAATGCAGTAATGATGACATCCTC